TCATTCATTCGTGTGTGTGTGTGTATTAAACTCACTAAATATCAGTGATTCAATAATAAATTAGAGGCTATGCCTTAGAGGAGCTGATGATTAAATGAGAGAAACAGCTAAGCAAACAGAATTTATAGCACAGTGTGAAATACGTTAATAATGAATAATTATTGAATATTTGCTATGCACCAGATGCTTTGTGAAGATATCTTATACTAGCTCATTTAATCTCAACAATCTTTTCAGACGTTACATTAATCATCTCATAATAATGTGGCTTAATCATTTCAAGCCCTGGTGGCTAATGACAACAAATACTTTTTTGCATGTTTTCTTTCTTTTCAGGCTGTTAGTCAGCTGGGCTGAGCTCCATGCTTTTGCGTAGGTTCAGGTCAGCTTGTGGGTCTCCACATTTCCCTGCCCAGCAGCTCCTATGTGACATGTCCTCATGACAAATTACATGAGCGAAAGCCGGCAAGCTTCTGCACATTTAAAGGCTTTATTCACATCCAATCCACCATTATTCCAGTGGTCAAAGTGTGATGCATGGCCAAACCCAGCATCAACTCCTCTCTCTACTGGGAGATACTACAGAGTCACGTGGCAATGGGCAAGGGTGCCAGGAGAGAGTGAGGAGTTGAGCACAATGAGTCCACCAACCACCACCAAATTACAGGTGAGGAAATTTGAAGAAGATAAGCAATGTGTCCAGAGAGCTAGGAACCTCATTCCGTGAGCCCAAGCCCTTGCTCACTATACTGTTTTGCACAGGGTGCTTTGGGACCACATCAGGGAGGTGAGTGGCTCATCAGCTCAGTGTGGTGGGAAGGGTTCGAGGAAGGCTCTTAGGGCAGGTAGGACCCGGGGATGACCTTATGAGTATTGGCCAGACAAAGAGTTCCTGTCTGGTTTAGCAGCAAAGAGGCCACTGGTACTGGCAGTTTCACTGGTGTGTGAGAGCAGAAGGCAGATGCCAGTAGGTTAAGAGGTGCATAGGAGGTGAAGGAGAAACAGCTTCTAGAAGCTTGACTGAGAGGGGTGGAAAAATAGGACAGTAGAATTGGAATAGAATAGGGCATGGCATTTCTTTTTCTTCGAGGACCTGAGTCCTTACTGCTAACCTGAAAGTTAGCAGAGAGGCCCTGTTGTTGGATTTAGCGGTAGTCTCTAAAATGTCCATCACATTCTTGTCCCTTGGTACCGGATGGGCCCCGCTGGATTGTGGGTGGCAAGGAAGAGAGAAGAGCTGGCTATGACTCAGGAAGAGAGGGGGGATAATTCAATGAGCACGTGCACTGTTGCTCACTAACGTGGTCTGGCTTGCTGACTGTCATGCCGTTCCCAGAACTGAACTGATTTATTTATTTAATTGGTATTTAGGGTGAGAGGTACCACATTCATCACAAGCAGGCTTAAAGACTTTTGGGAGTACCCATGGATTTAAATGAAATGTTAGTAAACCTTGCTTTTACCTTAAATACACAGAAAGGTGTGTTGAAGCCTTAGCAGTGGGGATTGGTGTGTTGAGAAATTATACCTTTCAGAGGTGGTTGACGCGAGTGTGCAGGAGAAACTTCTGTGTGCTACAGCTTTTTCCCTTTTTGTTCTCTTACCCTTTAAAATAATGCCTGTGACTCTCATTACCACCAAAGCAAGCCAATGAAGAAACTCATTTTGCCTTTTAGTACCTGAGATAAATAGTCCAGGCACTTAGATAAGGCCTCCCTCCCCAAACTGTGCCTTAAGTTTGTTTCTTTGGCATTTGGGGCTCAAGTGGGTTGGAACTATGTAACAGCATGAAGGGTTGAAACACCCCATTTCAGACTGGGAGTGAGGTGGCTGGCCGAGAGCACTGTGTGATGGTGAAAAGAGTTTCAATCCACTAATGCTTGTTAATAATAAAACCTCCACAGTTCTGGGGTTTATCTGAAAGGAGCTCATCTCACTCGGGCCGTGTGTCTCTTGCAGATGGTGCTGTGCTCTACTCTGTCTTCATTCCAGGCCCCGGGGAAGGCAGCGCGGTGAACAGTGAATTTGCTCTCACACCACCCCCGGTGGTGCTGTACCACTTCCGCTCCCATCTCGCTGACCACAGCGTGGAGCCGAGTTCACAGCGACTCACACTGGACATGCACAGCAGGAGCAGGCGACAAACCCTTGTGGTTGTGTGTTATTGAGCTTTTGTGGGTTTCGCTGCAGCCTGATCTAGCCTATCCTAGTGCTACTGTAGTGAGGATCATCTCGAAACAGAGCAAAGCATGTACACACTGGCCAGAAATTTCAGGTCAGCGTGAAAAGTTTGGTGTCCAAGGACAGTCATGTTTTTGAGAGAAGAGAGGGATAGGTGGGGCACTTTGAGGCCCTGTAGAGGGGTGGGCATTTCATGCTGCTGATAAAGGATGGGAGAGGCTTGGTCACCGTGTAGAGGGGGCTGCAGACTGGAGTGAAGGGGAGCTGTTAGTTGGTCATTGTAAGAGTCAAATAGCACCCAGACCAGGGCAGTGGTTATGGGAGCAGAAGAGCAGCAGGGAATGCGGGACGACCCGCTGGAAGTGGTATCAAGGACAGTGAGGACTCCAAAATGACTGAGGTTATTTGGAGAGGGCATCAGGAATCTTGGTTTTGCTCTGGGCTCTGTATCTGCCTTAGGAATTTTTCAGCAAATCACCTAATTAAAAGATGATTGTCAAAGGTGAGATCATATGGTATTTGTCCTTTGTTTGAGGTTGTGGGGGGGGGGAGGGAACAAGGGGAAAAGGGGGAGGGATGGGGGGTGGGGGGGGGGGAGGGGGGGAAGGGTGTTGAGTACTTTATTCTGGGATTGGGGAGTTTTCTTGGGGTTCCCTGAGAATTGCCTAGGGCTGGGAGGGGTGGAAGGGCTATTGGTACAAGTTCACCTTTGTTTTCTCCTCTGAAGTGTTGTGGGGTTGGTGCCCACCTCCAGAGAGAACAGTTTGTCAACGCCCAGGCCTCCCGTACATTTCTGAGTGTGAAAGAGATAGGAGGGGTGGGTGGGTCTTCAAACCAATGGAATTATGTGAATTTTCTTTATGGGACAATTCAAAGTAGTAGACACAATTTAAACATTGTCTTGAGGAAACCAAGATACTCTGTAAAGTATCTGTAAGTGGAACCATAATAATAAATCGTGGGTAAGTTATGAAACAGCATCATTTCTGAAGAGAACACTCAGTTCATGTGTTAAGGGGTCGGGAGCATCCTTAGATGACTGAAGCCCTACTGAAACAATGTCTCCTGAGAGAAGCAAGGGAATGGGTTCCCTGCCCTGACCTGTCTTAGCCCCACTCCAGCCCCTAGGTGCTTTCTTTCAATCATCCTGTGAGGGGTACTTGTTCATTTTTTTCCTCTAGCACGATTCCTTTGCATTCCACTCCCACTTGTTTGAGTAAGACGGAATGGGTTTCTTTTTGTGCCCGACGGTCAGTGGAACGTGCTTTGGTTGCAACAGAGGTCCTTGGTGTGCTGTCACCAAAAATCCACACACTGGCATCATTTCATTGTTTGCACCAGGCCTTCGTGAGACTGCAGACAAGAAATGCACCTTCTCAGGCCTTCACACTGACCTCAGGAGTCAGAAACTCTGGGGTGGGGCTCTGCAATCTGTTTTTAATGAGCCTTCTGGATGGATCTCAAGCCTGCTGGAATTTGAGGACCGCTGTTCTAGGGAAGCTTCTTAGACATACCCCATCCCCACCAGAATGATGAGATTTGAGGGTGGTCTGCGGATGAGCTACTAGCGAGGACAGAAATGGTGAGAAGTGGGCATCGTGACCTGGGGCAAAATGTGGGCCTTACTGTCTTCACCTTTGAGATTCGGCAGTCGGACTGGTCAGCAATTCCAATTTAGGGACCCAGAAAGTAGTTTGAGCAATACTACCCACAATGCAGGAGAAAGTCAATGTAGAGGAAAGTCGATCAGAGCTTCATGGAAATTATGTTTCCCTCGATGTGCTATAAGGACTTGTCAAATATCCTGTTTGCTAGCTGTGGGCCAAAATAAGCAACTGGACTGTAAACTTCTCAGTCATTTGTTTTCTTATTTCTAGGGCTTAATCATAGGGTGTGGCTCAGTGGAAGCTCTTCAGGTAAGGTTTTCCAAATTAAGTTATATAAAAAACAGTGTGGAAATACGGCTTATTTTATGCCAGTCAGAAGCCCCGATTGACTTTCCAAAACAAGATCACGGCGCTCCTACTTTTAAGCCTGCGTGTGTCCACTGTTGCAATGTCAGATTCACACAAACAAAAGATATTCGAGATGGAGACCAGGTGGCCTCAACCCTCAACTTGGCTTGTTAGTGCTGCTGTGGACAACAGCCCAGTTTACTTGTTCATGAATCCATGTGGTTTCAATTATGTGTGTGATTTCCTGCTAAAACTGGACGTGGTTCCCGTAGGACCATCTGGGTCCCGGGCAGGACCCCGCTGTGCCCATGTGCGCACAGTTGCTCAGCAGCACAAAGTTCAGCAGGATGACAGGGAGTTCACAGTTTACCAGGCTGAGCAAGGTGGCCTGGTGCCACAGCAGAGACCGTGAAGTGGTGCCAGGAACTTTCCAAGTGCTTCGAAAGGGGCTCTGCTCCTCAGAATGATCAGTCTGAGCCCGTGGTATCTCCATCAGTCCTGCAGGTTTTAGGAGAACAGATTGAACACAGTTCCCACTGTGCTGGCCTGACAGAGGGACAGAGAAAAGAGAGAGGCTGCCTGCTGCTGCAGAGGGAAGCGAGCCAGCAGGACACTTGCTTCCTCTGAGTTCAAGTTATTGTCTCTTTGCTCGTTTGGTTGTTTGTTTTAGGTAATTTTTATATGAGTCAAACTGACAATCTGGGGAGTAAGATCTCAAATGCTCTGGTGTCTCTTTGCTTGTGAGATCATCATATCTACTGGCCATTTTGAAACCTGAACTCCAGGATCAGACCCATAAAGGGGCAAGAGAACAGACCAAACTTTTGTTAGTTCACAGAACTCCAATTCTTTATTAATCACAGCTTGCTCACAATGACATACAGGAAAATAGCACGAATGAAGAGTAACTATGCAGGCAGCAACCTTCAGGAGTTGGAAGTTGGGGAGAAACGACTTCAAAACTGCGACAGGTAATTATGGTGGGTGTCTGGTGATTCTCTTAGTTGGCACCATGCCCTGCGCACCCTGCTTCACTACGTCAGCCCTCACAGATGGATCGATTTTTCCAAATCAATCCAGCAGGATTGCCTCACATTGGGGAAGAAAGACCAGTTTGAGTGGAAGTCCGTAGTGTTTCTGATTTGCGTATCTGTGTGTGTTTCAATGCAACAACCAACTCACAGTTTCCAAGCGAAAAGTATTCTTCAGTAGCATCATGTACTTGTACTATAGGTAAGAGCTTAAAATGAACATCATCAATCATGGCATCCACAAATAAGCCACCTGACACATTAATTAATTTATTCCATCCAAAGAACTTAAACTAGAGATTTAAGCAATTGCACGGCTGCTGGAACCGTTTAAAATGTAGCACTTCAAAGGTTTGGTTTTTTGCTTCTACCCAGATTGACTTCAGGTTTGTCCTCTTATCCGTCCCTTTCTAAAACCAAAGCGCATTGGTAGCACACAGTGCAGTAGAAGCGAAAGTCAATGCTATGATTGGTGGTTATTCTTAGCCTGTTTTTTTTTTCATGTTTAGGCAGTATGTAGATTATGGTGTGGAGACATCACACCCATGTATGGTGTAGGGATGGTGTCGGTCAAGTTCAGAGGTGACAGAGCTGTCTAGGTCATTAGGCGATGGTGGATTTCTAGCACCATAGACTGTCTACTGACCCCGTTTTTTCTGTTGGAATGAAAAGGGCAGGGAAGGGAGTCAGACACGAGGAGCTTTGAAAAGAACAGACCTAGCAAATTCATTTGAGTGGAAAGACACAACATCCAAAGCCTGTTACAGGACATGTAAGGTTATGAAATAACTTGCATAATGCAATACTTGTATTTTTTAACAAAAATGTAAGTATTTACAAAATAAGATCCAAGGTACTTTTTAAACATCAAGCAAAACATTCTGCAAAGAGACCGTATTGATTTCTTTTATTTTTTGATTCTTTTTTTAATAGTGAGTTCTTTTGAAACCATGTCATACATTTTCCATACTGATATCATGTGATCCATTATGACGTAGGCGGGGGGATTTCCCAGCAGCCGGGCATGCCGCCCCCTCCCCCGGCTCAGCCGGACAGCTCCACCTGCAGCTCCTTGTTCCTGCGCACCTCCGCAGCGTGCCTCTCCTGGAAGACAAGGGGCGGCAACGTCACAGAGCCTCAGGTCTGCTCCGCGCAGGGCCAGGGGGGCTACCCCTCCTTTGCATGCTACGTGCTTGGCTGGGAGTACCTCAGTTTGACCTCTACTTTTAGGAAATCTTCTCATTTTCCGAGAAAGGAAAACATGGGACCCAGTATATGTCACATTGAAGAAGATCTTACAAGACTTACGGCATCTTTAAGAAAACAACTGCTGTATTTGATTAAAACTGTGACCAAAAGAGAATTTTAAATATTATGGCCACTGTACAAATCCAGAGAATAGCAATAACATGTCATATTGTTTTTCCTCTTGTTTTTAATGCTGTTTTCCTTTTCTCTAATATTTTAAGGGCTTTTTAACTTCTGATGGACACTTTAGGAGCATTAGATACAAAAATGTCCTGGCCTACATCAAAAGATAACTGGAGTAACTGGAAAATATTTAAATATTTAACCTTGAAGCTATATGTTTAATGAATATATGTATTAGTGTTAAAATGGTTATACCTGCTTTAAGTTATTTTTCAAAATTAACTGTTTGTTACAGTTCCCAGTTGGGTCTGAGAGGAGAGCAGCTATTGCTCAGGGCCACTGATGCTATCGGGTGAGGAGTTTTCTGCAGGCTGAACTCAGTGTGCTGCTGCAGTAAGATTAGGGTGTCCCATTCCCAGCAATGCCACGTGATTTGGGGGGCAGGGGGACCTAGGATGTGAGGCGAAGGTGGAGTCACAATTATCCTGACTAGAACACAGCGGTTCTCTGCTGTCCGTGCTGCAAGCACCTGTCATCAGCATCCCCTCACTTGGTGGTGTGGCAAAGTGGGCACTAAGGACACGTGGAGGAAGACTGACTGGTTCAGGACCAGGCCCGTAAATTTTAGCCAATGGAACTTTGTCTTTCTGCATCTCAGCCAAGCCTGACCTGACCCATTTAGGTGAAACCTAATGACATAGTTCTGAGAATATGAAAAGACTAGCTTATATGAGCAAATAAATCTCAACTTTAAGGTTTTGGCTGAGGTACCAGTGGCTGTTCTGGCTTATGCCCGGGTCACCCTGAACTTCAGATATCCTGAGAGCCTCGTATGCCCTTCCCCAGCAGAGCTTTCAAAAATTCCTTAAGCATACAGGTACCCATGAAAATCTCCATGAAATATAAATGTATATATTTTTAGGGTTTATGTACGATTTCCTTTGGTTCTGGCCTGATATTTGTAGTCAAAGAATGGTAGGGAAAACAAAGAATCACTGGGATGTCAGGATAAGGCCGCCCGATTCTTAGATGAGATGGGCCAACTCTAATAGATGACATAAAAGTTCCTAAGAAATACTCACAAAACAGGGCACTGATCTTGTTTAAACTGTCAGTGTTCTGATGACAGGGACAGTGTCACATCTCCCTGTACCTCCAGTGCCTGCCACATAATGGCACCCAGCACAGGAGGGGAGGGTGCTGCTCAGGAAAGGATAGAGGCAGCCTTTTTCAAAGATCCTCTTTCTCAGCGCTCCACCTGATTTTTGGGAGTGGTCAGAACTACACTACTCGGAGCTACACCACCCATTTTCAAAGGTATTTTTAAGAGGTGGTGGTGGAGGTGATGATGGTGGCTAGTTAGCAAGAGCCTGCGGAAGGGCAAGAGAAAACATTTTCTGGAGGATCTCCGGCACTGCCCCTCCTGACTGATGGGAACGAGTTTATGCACAGGGGCAAGGAGGAAGGCTCCCAGGTATGAGAACGCAAGGAAACGGATGTTCCCCAGTAGCTTCTCTTTACATTGGTGTCATGGGATGTTGTTAGAGCCAAATTTTCCATGAAAATATTCCTACGTGGAGAGAATGGACTTCCCACCTTCTGTAACAAATATATTTTCCAACTTAATATTTATTTACTTATGATTACATATTAATTAAAGATTAAACTAAAATTAAACATTATATATTTCATATTTATGAAGTATTTAATATTTCCAATAGATTGGCTCTGAAGGGTTGCACGGTAGTCTTTTAGACATTTGTAAAGCACAAATCGGCCTCCTTGAATCCACTCCCCACTGGAAAGTGTGACAATTTCGAGCCCCCCTTTTGGGTCCCCACTCCCAGCCCACCCTGCAGCCCCACCGGGTCAGTCTGTACCGGGAGGCCCCGTGCACAGGCGATCTGCCCTCTTCACATGCGTGTTTTGATTGTGTCGGGGTGCATGGGTGTGTCTGAGTGAGCGCATCTGCTCAGGGCTCTGTGGTGATTACCTTTTCCTGCAGGCGTTCGATAATAGCAGCTAGATTAGCCTCGCGGTTCTCCTTAATCTGTTCCATTTTCAGGATCAGCTTTTCCTCCGCCATTTTGCTGAAGTTGTTGTTTTCCTCCAGCGCCTTCTGCAGAACTTCTCGCTCGTGCTCCCGCTTCTCCGCCAGCTGTTTCAGCACCTGGGCCTCCTGAGACTGCGCAAGAGAAACAGTCACTCAAGGCAAACCGAGGGGGGCAGGGCCCTGGACTGCAGCGTGCTCTCCGAGGATGGTCAGTCTGTCCGGTCCCGAGCACTGCTGTCCGTCCCGTTCTCATCCCTCTGGCCTAGGGTTTCCCCAGGGCGGTTAGTGGGGAAATGTGGTTAGTTGGATTTTCAGATGTGAGTGTTTTGGACAGGCTGTCTTAGAAGAAAGCAACCCTCACCGAGGGTTTTTGTTTCTGTTTTTCATTCGTTGCTGCTAAGCATTTACACAACAGGGGATGGCTGTAGTTAATCACTGGGTAGCAACATGCATCGAAGCCTGAGCACAAGCGGCAGGATTGAGGCAAGCTCCGTCTTTTTCCTGGGTCTGTTTTTCGATAAGATGTGGGCTGGATCCTGCAATTTCCAAATTCACTTTCTTGTTTTATTCCATGCCCACCTCCCCCGCCCCCTTTTATTCATGTGCCAAGTCATCTCTCCAGACTTGTCTACAGTGTGAACAATGTCCACATGGCCGCAGACAACAAGTCCTTGTTCAGGACTCTCTGTGGTCCCTGGGTCATCTTTGAAACCCCGTGGTTGCTCATGGTTAGACCGGAAACTTTTTCTCCGAGGTTTAAGGACTGTGACCCTCCTGCAGCAGCAGTGGGAGACGAAGTTCTGTTGTTACAGTGGATGTTAGCAATCACCTGGGAGCTTGGTAAAAGTGCAAATACCTGGTATCCTCTAGAGCTTCAATCCTGGGACTCTTTGGCGAGACCTAGGAATCTATATTTTTGATAAGCATCCCTAGGGGTTATAATATGGTCAGTTCTCAGTCTACTTTTTGAAAAATACACCAGGATGGGCTTTGGTGTCAGGCCTGTGTTCAAGTTTTGGCTGTGCTGGTGACCCTGGACATGTTAACTTCTTTCCATATTCATTTTCTTCTCCACACTTACATAATGAATTAACACTGAACTATCCACGTTTAAGCCTAAATTATTACCCACTGATTTGTTTCTGGGTGATTCCTTGGGATTGCTGATCCCCTGAGATGGCCTTCACAAGACTAAATGTGATAGTCTAAACAATCGTAGATCAAACATATTTCACAGGCTGCGAAGTATTACTACCATTAAAAGCATTAACAGGAAACCATTTTTACTTGTGGTAGTGGTTGGGGGTCTTACTGGACAAATCTTGATGTGTAAATAAAACCAAGTCTGACAGGAGAAGAAACTTCCCTTCAGATAAAATTCTGCAGGAGTGGTAAACTCAGAAACCTTAAGAGTCCTTGTCCGTGTGTTTATTTTGATGTCGAGGGACTCATTGGGAATTAGAAAGAAAATCCTGGGGACTGGCCCCACCTCCAGCTTTAACCCCATGATGGTTTCACTGACATCTCAGGAATATGCCGCCATATTCCTGCTCTGTCACAGTGTTCCATAAAACCAACATGAAAAATAAAGAGGAAATGCTCACACAAAGTAAGTTCAAAATCAATGGAGTTTTTCTGGAAGAAATGTAAACAATATTTTCTAGCTGGTTCATCCTCGTGACTCTAGGTGGGACTATTGGTATAGTCTCCCACATTGCTCTTGTTTATTTCCTGCTGCTAGGACTACTGCACTATTTCAGAGAGAAAGAGAGGAGACTGAAGGGGTGTGTGTGTGTGTGTGTAAAGTGTCTCTCTGAGATCAGCCTTCACGTGATTAATGTTTTTTGGCATATGGATAAAGATAGTGCCTATCTCATAGGATTGCTTGTGAGCACCAAATGAAATAATGTTTCAAGGTAATCAGCACACTGTTTAATAAAGAGTAAGTTTGTACTGAGCAAATGATATCCATTATTACAGAAAGTAAAACTCAACATCCTGTCACTGGGAGATGATGGCAAATGAACCTATTGGTATGGCTAAACTCAAATGTAAAACTTTGGCCATCTCATGTATGTAGATATTTGTTCAAACTTCTTTGGTTATTGGCATCAGTGGATCCAGGGGCCTCAATGTTGATGACAGTCAACCCTTCCCTGCCTTCCTCCTCCATACTCACACTCACCCACTGAATGGGCTATACAAAATTTTATAGGAAAGTAAGCATCTCAAAGAAATAGGAGGAAATATCTGATCCTTCATCTTGGAAAATTCAGTTCAACCTATGCAGCCTCCAGTCCAGAAAACTCTCTAGAGGGAGAGAAGTCTGGGTTATCACAAAATAAGATTGCCATGTGCCCAAGAACTAGAGATAAGGTTGCAACCTGGGTTTACTCTCCTAACGGACAGGAAACCATGGGGCGGCTTCAGGAAAGAAAACCAAATAGGTAAAAATAAACCATGTCAAAATGTAACTTTTCAAAACCCTCTATTTACAGCACCCTTTAAAACATCTTGCTTTGATGGGACAGGCTTTTTCTGTGTGAGCAGACACCCACAGGCACCACTGCCAGTGATGGAGAGAAGTCTGTTGCACCTACTAGAGTGGCGTTTGGCTGGGTTGAAATGGGCCGATTAATGGCGTTAGTACTTCTGCAGCGACTGGGGCTAAATGAGATTACCCAGCCTAGAGACAAGTGCGTTCTGTTAGCACAGTTAGTGGGGCAAAACAGAAGGCAGGCAGTACAGAATGTTCTCCTGTGAGATCCCTGCAGTGTGACACAGGCCGACCACACTCAGGGCTCCTGAGGTACCTTCTGACACACTGGAAGGGACTGCTACAGCCACCATTGTCTCAACTAAATGCATCGGTAGGACCTATTACTAATGCTAGTAATAATCCATGTTCCTAATATTTAAAGCTCAAATCCAAGAAAAAAATTACAGGATGAGAAGTTGATTACAAAATGAATTCCTCACTGAGAAAATATTTATGGCTCCTTATTTTGGTCCTTCTTCATTGGTGCTCAACTCTTAAACAAGTTCTTCAGGGAGCTGATAGTCTTGAGGGCCTTTCCTCCATTCCTATGTCTCTGTATCTGCACCACTGTGGAAAATCATAGTTATTTTCTCTTTCATAGCCTAGCATCTAGATTCCACTGCCTGTGCATTCTCTAACTTCCTTCTTGGAGAAATACGTTCTCTCATTAATCTTGCTGAATCCTCTAATCATAGCCTCAAGGAAGAAAATTGGTTGTGATCTCAACATTTTACCAATAAGCAAATAAGCTTATTTTATTCCAGAAAAGGACATGAAAACATGACAGGAAATGAGTATGAGGATGCAGGATAAAAATGTGATCTATAGAAGTGGAAGCACTTGCCTTCATTTTTGTAGAAGTCAAGTTCTCACTTCATGGTCAAATAAGTCCTTTTACTTTGTCCCTTGCTTGCATAGATTAGCAGAGAGCAATCTTGATTGCACTGACTGACAGGGAGGCTAGAGAGCTGGGATTTTCTGAAAGCTATTGAAAATAAATTTGTGCAAGGGAAAAGGATCTGGCCATGGAGGGACATTTCTGAATAGCATGTATATAATGTAGAAATTCACTGAAATACTAAAATAAAAAATTAGAGCATGAGAATGATCAGCTGATATAATGCAAATGCCAAGGTGAAGTATTTATAGAACTGAGACATCCACCATGGCATTCTGGTAGACTGAGGAAGCTTTTCCATCCCACCCTTGTAATAACAGACATGTGTTATTACTTACGTGTGTCTAGCTTCTCTAGACTTAAACCTTCTCACACTGATCTCAAAATCACCGGAGTAAGTGCATTAGAGGCACACGAAAGGAGAGATAATGAGCTTGGGAAAAGTGTTATTGTACATTTAGGAGTACTTGGACATTTTCCAAAGAGGTTTATTAGCATTTCTTATGTTACTGAGTATAAGAGTTTAATTGCTGTGCAAATGAAATAGAAGATAAATTTGAGTTAAGTGGTTTATAAAACTCACTTTAATGCTCGGTACACATAGGAGATTTAAGGCTACATTTAGTTAGGTCTAGTTTTCCACTGATTTCTAAAGTAAACACACTTTCCTATCCCACTATTTTCTTGTCCCTTCTCATCATTTGGATATATTACTTGTTATCTAGAACCACTTATCAGACACTAGGTGTCATTGTAATAGGTTAGATGATGCCTCTAACTGTTAACAATGAAAGAAAACAATAACCTAAATAAAGTTAGGAATAATGTCTTATTAAAATATGACAAATGAATGTAATTGTATGAAACAAAAAGATGTGATATTCACTTTGTGCTGAAGGATCAGAAGCATAATAAGAAATGTAAAATGATTAAAATCTAAAGGTCTTTAGAATGAACCCATTAGCTAAAGCCTGTAATTCATTTACTGTGGGTAACTCCTTGAAACAGAACTACGGGGGGAGTGGCACACATGAGGAGTCTGTGGCCCATGGTCACGTTCTCTGAGGAGCAGAATGCCTCCTGATTGTTGGGTCATGAATAATCCAGCACTTTAGTTCAGAATCCATTGCTATGCAAAGTGCTACCTCTTTTCCTGGGTTTAACTTTAATTGCCATTTATAATGTGAGATGCCGAAAAAATAGAAAATATAAGTCTATCAAGTTTGGTGACTAATAATCCACTTTTATGCCATTTTATTAAAAACAAGGAACACATCTTTCTTTCTGAGATTCAGTGACTTTAGAGTTGATTATGCTAATATTGTCAGTATGCCATTATAAATCACTAGACTGGTTTGAGTAGCATTCTTTTTAACTTCATCTATTTTAGCATGAGATTTTATCAATGTCATTTAAATCCTTAACTTTTCATCATTCTTATAACATTATTTTTTCAAGCCACTTAATAATATTTGTTACCTATTAACTTTTTTGTAATTTGAAAAAGAACATTCTTAATATTTAAAAATGTTTATGAAATACATTGTATGTTAACATTCCAGTGTCTGTGTTAATGGGAAGCTTCCTTTCTTTATAAAATTGTGAGTTTGCTAGACCACCATATCTGTGAGGTCAGAAACTGGATGGGTTTGTACCCAATAACAGCTCACAGTGTATTCACAGTGCTTGTTATATGTCTTTATGACTACTATAAGTAACTCTTATGGTTACTCTTTTAGTTATCACAATACCTTTGTGCCAATTATTTGTCTCATTTTACAGGTAGGTAAAATAAGACATAGAGTTTAGTGACTTGCTGAAAGTCACATAGCTGTTAAATGGTGGTACCAGACTTTGAATCATAGGCATTCTCTTAGCCATGTGTGCTTAACCAGTATGCCTTTAAAAAACACTCTTAAACACTGTGTTTGGTTTAGAATGTCCATATAATTTACTGTCCAAACTAGGAAACTTATGGGATTGAAATAATAATAATGATATCAAAATAGCAGGAGTCCGCTGGAGTTGTCCTGAGCTAACTGGGATGTATGGTTAGCTTAGCTCTTCTGCCTCTTGCTAAATAAATGTTTGTTGAATAAATAAATGGATGGACAGAAGGATGGATGGGTGGATGACAAAAGTGGTCATATTATTTCACCCATGTGAGTCAGTTGCAGTTTGGAAACTTTGATTTCAAAATATGAGCTTCAAGCTGACTTCATGAAATAATATGGTCTCATGGAGGTGAACACTAATCTCAGACATAATAAAAAAGGGAGATGTCTTTTAGCCATGTGGTCAATTTCTAGTTCACCTCAGTTATATAAAGGTATAATTGTGGGTAAGCTGTTGCTCAAGGACAGGAACATTACCAGGATTGTAAGTAGTTAACTCAGGGAATTTTATGAAAACTCCCAGTTATTTTGATCATCTTTGCATTGTTCTTCCTTTTCCTTTAACAGTTTCTTTCAAATTAAATACCTAACCTAGAACCATAACGATGTTGAATTTTCATCTCTAAGTTTCCATTTTAGCTCAGTCACCGAGTTTGTATTTTAATCAAGTCATGGCATCTGCGTATATCAATCCCATGCCCATGACCTCTAATATACCAGCGCTTGGGTGAGGACTCAGCCTTGAGTGTGTGTGCTCTCTCCCAATACAGCTTGTTATTTATATCTGCCCGCAGCAAAGTCTTGATGGACTGTAACTGAATAACCTAATTAGCTTATTACCTAAAGGTATTAGGTGCATTACCTAAAATAATTCCTTTTGGGTTGAATAGAGGTATTTTGATGGGATGGATTCCCATAATCACATAGTTGGTGACAATATATTCAGACATAACTTCTGTCACTGTGTTTAAAGTCCTTGGGATTTCTGAGTGCCTTCCATTTTTAATACCCTTTACTTTTCTTAGTCATCTGATTTTGGAAAATTGAAATTTGTTAAAAGAAAAGGTCTTTAATACAAACAGGGACCAATGGGAAAAAGAGAAAAAAATGCCACTAAGGTTTAGAAGTGAGTACAGGAAGATAGTCATAGATCTCAAAGAGGGTCCTGATCTTGGGAGGAGCAGCTTCAAGGGCAAGTAGCCAAGCCTTGAGGAGGACAGGGCAAGCTCCTGGTGTTTATCCTGAGGGAAAGCCACTTTAATAATAAGAGATCCGAATGGGGGGGGCACCAGGGTATTAAAGTTCTTTCAGTGTCTCTAGGTTTACTGAAGATCTACATGTATTCAGGTGTCATTGTCCTCTGGAACTTCTGCTTGGTGTATGGGCGTGTGTTGTGTGTATGTGTGTGAGAAAGAGAGTAAGTACAAAAATCTTTACTCACTATGTTATACACATGAAGCTGTTATAACCGATGTCAACTACAATTAAAAATAAATTTAGCCCTGGCTGGCATAGCTCAGTGGATTGAGTGCAGGCCTGAGAACCACACAATCGCGGTTCGATTCCCAGTCAGGGCACATGCCTGGGTTGCAGGCCAGTTCCCGGCAGGGGACTCATGAGAGGCAACCACACATTGATGTTTCTCTCCTTCTCTCATTCCCTTCCTCTCTAAAGATAAATAAATAAAATAAAATAAAAATAAATTTAAATAAGTTATGGAAAAATTACCTTTCTTCTTTCCTCAGCTGCCTCTAGTTTTTTCTGGATCTCCTCCAGGGACAGGTCTTTCTTCTTTGGAGAAGCTAAAGTTCGTGGGGCTTCTGAGATGGGAGATGGTGGCTTTAAGATCAGCTCAAAAGCTTGGCCAGAGGCACGTTTGTTGATTTGCTTCACTTCCATATCTGAGAAATAAATATTTGAGAATGTTAAGCAGACAGAGCATATGCATGGTCTTAGCTTAATAATTTGAATTCTAGCAATTGAAAATAGCATTGCTATCCTGTCAAATAGGAATAAAATGCAGCATAGGATCATTTGCTTTACCTTGTCTTAAAGATATAAGACCTATTTCTTCAGTATAATTATGAATATATTTTAACAAAATAAATATTTACAGTGTTGGGGAATTCAGCAATGTCCATAGGGAATTGAGTAATGGCAGGAATATATAGGAAAATATAGCCTGAATTGATTTCAATCTAAACTTTATTTTCCTTTGAAGAAATATGAGCTTCACATGAAAAGCAAGTAGCACAGATATAGATATTTGTGTGTGTGTAAGTTGCCATGGCCGGAGGCATTTTCAGACTAACTGATGAGGGAAATAGCAAAGTTCTCCAGTTCCTGTATTTAATCCTGTGGTTGGAAATCGCAGGAGCTGTTAGGACCAATGTAGCTCCCTGAGGGGATGGAAATGCTGGGCCCCAGCTCTGCTCCTGTGCAAAGCACCCTGCCCATTCCCTGTGTACCCTTTGGTGCATTTGTTGACCAGAGTCGTCATCAGGCATGCGTAGTGTCCACTCTGAAGAAGACACTGATGGGGTCCCTGTCTTCAAGGTGCTTAGAGTCTAGCAGGGACAATAAGACAAGATCCCACTGTAGTATCATCGCTTCTACATTGTTGCTTCTTAGACAACTTTCTTTAGGATGTCTCAGCTGTAGACAGGACCCTGGAAAGGGTCACTGTGTTGGAGGAGGAAAAGGCATCATCTGCTTAGCTAAGTTACATACTGTGTGCGTTTAACAACTGAAGAATGGTTAGCCATGTTTTTCACTGGCAGTTTAGGTGCAAAAGATAAGCAGAATAGCAGACCCTCCAGTTTTAATGCTGTATAATATGATTTATAATATAAAGTAACATAATTTATAATATAAAATAGAGTGATAGCTAGCATCTGTTAGGGCTAATTTATGATTACACAACTTAAACTTAGGGAAAAATGATGATTTCTTAGAAGTTCATCAGACAGCCCCCATTTTTAGATGAGTGTAGCTTATTGGGAGCCCCGGACTGCCCCTGGTCCAGGCTTGTTCTACTCTCCAGACCTACCTAGAGTTAGGACATTTTTTGCTCTGTCTCTGTACCTTACAGGTATTCAAAAATAGCTCCAAGTTCTATCCCTGCAGGTTAGAACATCCTCAGTGCCCCAGAATGACCATTTCTAGATCTTTATCTTTGTACTGCTTCCTAATCCTATGCTCTCTAATCATTAATGTCCCTTTAGAGTTGTGGCGACCAAGCTGGCTTCATTGTAAATGTAAATAATGTTGTAAATGTAAATAATGATAATAATAAAATAACGTTACATCTTTGTTATCATTATTGTTGTGTAATAATAATTATTATTATCAGGTAATATTTGTCTGCAATAAACCCTTCAAGTTATTATCTAGATAGAAATACAAGGTGAGGGCAAAGGCTTTAGAAATTTAAAATTCTCTACCAATTCTTTTAGGAAGCAGAGCATGAGCAATGCTGAGTTGTCTGTTCAACTTCTAAGACTGAGCTTATATATAACATCTGACTTCTTTTCCCCGTCAGTCCCTAAGCCAGCAGAAACGTCATTGTCTTCTCTGTCCAGGCAGTACACCTTGTCCACCCTCTGTCTCAGCATGTGACCATACTGCATCTCCTTACTGATTTCTGCTCTTCTAGGTCCCGAGTTCCTGGAAGGAGCTGCCTGTGCTGTGTCCACTTTGGAGCCCCAGTGACAGCACACAGTGAGATAGTAGAACCACAGGAGACACAGCTGGATTACTAGTTGTAGCTGCACATAGCGGGTTAAGGATCCATCTAATTTATTTGTGGACTGAATGAACTTGTTCAAAGTTGGCATTGGGCCTACATTCTTTTTTTAAAAAGTTATTTATTTATTTATTTATTTTAGGCAGAGGGGAAGGGAGAGAGAAAGAGAGGGAGAGAAACGTCAATGTGTGGTTGCCTCTTCTGCTCCCCACACTGGGGAACATGGCCTGCAACCCAGGCATGTGCCCTGACTGGGAATCAAACCAGTGACCCTCTGCTTCACAGTCCAGTGCTCAATCCACCGAGCCACACCAGCCAGGGCGGGTGTGGCTCATTCTAATGAGAATTTGTCACACAAAGGATATTTCCTTAGGAAACAGTGAACTAGCATTTATGATGCTTGTGTCATGATAGGATTATTTTGTCAAGAAAAATGCCACTGAGTCCCGAAATAGGCTTTAAAGGCACAGAGGGGTTAGCTGCCACAGATCCCGTCACCTGAACTGCATTTCTTTACCCATGTGGAAAAGACAAATATTTGTGAGCCAAATAGCCAGCAAAATATACTTCAGCTACATCTACTACATGTGAAACTGTATCAAATATTTTGATTATATTGACTGAATTAAGTGAGGATGGTATTGTCGATAATAATAGCTGCGATTTTTGGTACTTACAAGGGGCCAAGCTCAGTGCTAAGTGTTTGACTTGCATTACTTTACTTAGCCACATCACCACCGAGAGGAGAGGACGGCACTACATTTTAATAAGGTTCAGAGCGCCTTTGTGGCTTGCCGAAGGAGGTCACGTGGCTAGTGTCAGGAGGGAGCAGGATGCATCAGGATAAATCAGTCTGAATGGATTACACTGCAAAACGGTGCATAGCCAGACAATTCTGCAGGGTTTCTTTTTAATCCTCTGGGGCCTCAGTCATAAATCAGTTTTATAATTGGAAATTATTAAACTGATATGCATATACTAAATATGGGAACATTATAAAGATTATACTAAAGCAAAACTGGGATGGCAGTTGATTTTTTTCTCCTGAGTTTTCTAAGTATAAACATTTTTATTGAAAATTATGATCTGCTCTAATTAGAACTTAGCACATTATATTATTTGCAAAGAAAAGCCTTGGACATACTGATATGCTAGACGTGACTGCAATTACAATTCAGCCATGTTTTTACGAGATGTTAATATGCTGTTATTAGCACCAAACTCAAACTGTTTTGAGCAATAGGCAATCAATAAGGCCTAATAGCTACACATAGCAAGTCAATAGCGAGAACCACCAAATACCGATTTAATTCTATCAGGAGTTGTGAGAGAGAAGTGAGTACATCTAAGCTTTTCCAAATGATCTAGCTGTCAGGGGCATTTCCATCGTCAAACTCACCATCGTAGGTGTAGATGTTGATGTTGCGAGGTTCTGGATAAAAGCAGGAGCAAATCAGTGAGAGCATGGACAGCTCCTTCATTTTTTCCTTGTAGGCTGAAACAAAGGACTTACAATTAGAATCTTTCTTTTTTAAAAATATATTTTACTGATTATGCCATTACAGGTGTTCTATTTCCCCCCTTCATTCCCCTCCACCCTGCATACCCCCTCCCCCACCATTCCCCCCTTTAGTTTATGACCACGTGTCTCAAGTTCTTTAGATTCCATATTTCCCCTTCCATTCTTGCCCTCCCCCCTATCTATTTTCTACCTACTGCCTGTGCTACTTATTCTCTGTACCTTCTCCCCTCTTCTCCTCCTCCCACTCCCCTGTTGCTAACCCTCCATGTGATCTTCATTTCTATGGTTCTGCTCCTGATCTAATTGTCCTCTTAGTTTGCTTTTGTTTTAGGTGTGGTTGTTAATAACTGTGAGTTTGCTGTCCTTTCACTTTTCATCTTTTTTATCTTCTTTTTCTTAGGTAAGTCCCTTTAACATTTCATATAATTAGAATCTTTCATTTTCTTTATTTCAGTGTCTCTGGTTATATTTTGCTTGCTTGTTTGTTTTGTTGATTAGGTTCCACTTATAGGTGAGATCACATGAGAGAGAGTGGGAGAGGGATAATGGTGAGAAATAGGAGAAGGGCTATCAAAGAACATGTATAAAGGACACATGGACAAAGCCAAAGGGGTAGGTTTGAGGGTGAGAGGTAGGGATGGGTGGGGTGGGGGACATGGTGGGGTGAAAATGGAGACAATTGTGCTTAAACAATAGTAAGAAAAAAATCTTTCATTTTCTATCTAATCTTATTGCTTCATTTAACTTGAATAGTAATAGCCTTTTCCAGAATGTATATGGCCAGTGACCCCACTTTGCTCTCTTTACAGAATATAAATGGATGAAAGATTAAAACTGAGCTCTGAAGTGCATATCCCTCATTACAGAAAACATAAATCACTTATTATAGCAGATTAGGTAAGAAGTAGGAGAAAGGGAGTTAGAGTAAAGAAGAGAAAGTGGAAGGGATTGAGATCCAGCAGGACAGGAGGAGGGAGAGACAGGAAAGAACTGGAGGAAGCAGAAACAGAAAATTAGCAGAGAGACAGGTCCATTCTAGTTTACGTGCATGTCTGTTTTATGTAAGTGAGACGCAGGAGGTGTTCTTTGCTCGTTCAGTCTGAACAGTTACATCTTCATTTGGAGATAGGCAGAGAACTCATTAGGATAGTCAGTAAGCAGATACATCTTCTAAGGACCTATGTTGCTGCTTTCTCTTCATGCCCAACTTCATTATCTTATGTTTCTGTCTTTCAACACACACTGAAAACTTGGTCTGAAACCTGATTAGGATTTGCTCTTTGCAAAACCTAGTTTGGGTGTTCGCCTGGCCTAGCAGCTCAGATGAGCACCCCTTCTTCCTTATCTCCGCCTCCCCATTTCATTTTCCCCTTTCTCCTTCTAGGGTGTCCTTCCTTCTCAGGTGACCGTGGAAGGCACTGTAGCACTGTTGGTTGTAACCAGGACAAGCGATGAGCAAACGGGGGTAAGAAGGTGAGACTCCCTCACCTTTGTGATTCTTTAATTAGAGATGTTAATAAATTAATAAAAATGGGAGAAAAATCATAGGTATGCTGTGCCCTAATTTGTGAGCAATTATAAACAGATGGTGATAGTTTTACATATTGACCCTTATAGGTAACTTTTGCCTTTTGGAAGAGTCTTCTTATTATTACTGTAACCCAAGGAGAGTGAATACTTTGGAAAGATGGAAACTCTCAGAAGATTAGTTTGGGTGGTACAGACAGGTGCATCATTTGTTGGCCAACAAGAAGCAGATTTAACCCAGATGCTCTAGGTCTACAGAATGTTAGATTGGGAAGGTCCTGAGAGAGCACTTAGTCAACTATCCACTCCTGTCACCACCAGTTTTGCAAATGAAACAGGCCCGCAGAGGGCAAAGTCATATGTGGCCAGTGACAAAGCTGGGCCTCTGGATAAAATGAAGTAAGTCAATCTCAAAGTTGCCAGCAGGTGGTCAGGAATGGTTTTAGAGTCACAGTTGCTAGATTTAGAAAATAACTGTATAAGACACCTAGTCAAGTTTAATCCAAATGTTGAATGGGACATACTAAGGGTCATTCTTTGCTTTTATGAAATTCAAATTTAACTGGATATCTTGTATTTCACATGGCAACTAGAGCAAATGGAACTGGATCAGAGTAGCATTGAGGAAAGCAGAGGAGGAGGCAACTTATTGTTGACATTGAATTGGGGTTCTAAAGAGCCTGTATGGAACACTCTTATGGACTCAGTTCACAGAAGGACTGATAGCTACAGGAAGTACCATTTACGTTCCAATCTTGGGGTATGGCATCCACTGTGCTCAGGAGACAGCACTGTCATAGACTGTCTATGATGGAGTTGTCATAGACCATGCAACAAGCATAGTAAGTCCTCCTGGGAGTCAATTCTGCTCCAAGATTTTGGGTAAGATGTTTGGAAATGTTGCTCATGGAAAAGGATTGTGACTTAAAACATTATATTCACATGAAAACAAGCATAGATATGGTTTATCTAAGAATGTTAGAATATCATGAATTTTAAGTGTAGGCTTAAAATAAATTTAAGCTTGGGAGTTTAGTTTTGAGTCAACCATTAGCAATATTTTTGTGAGAAATTTGAGAAGCCCAGAGGTGGCAGTGGGCTGGGCAACTGTAAAACCTCGTTTGCTGGCACAGTTCTGAATTAAGCCCATCATTAATGCCCCATTTCACTGTCAAAGTTTAGCCATTATATTCATCTTAGAAATAAGGAGCCATTGAACATTTCCAAAGTAGGGGTTACCTGACAAAAGCCTCTTCTTACATTTATTTGACCATTTTATATAGGAAAGATTTATCACTAGAAGACAAACTTAAGAAACAACTGAATAAAGTTTAGTGGATAATGTGGTATGGCTTTGAAAGATGGTAGTGCAAAGGGAAAAGGAAGGGAGATGCAAGAGACTGTATGAAAAAAGCACTGTTAGGAGATAATATCTGACTGTGGGGCCCAGAGCAGGGGGAAGGGAGAAATCTTTGTGGATGGTGGTCCAGAGAAGCTTTCCAGAGAAAGTGTCAATAAAACTGAGTCCAGTAGGGGAGTTGTTCTCATAGAAAATAGGGCATAAGTTGAGATGCTGAAATATATATGATCTGGATAAACTTTTGTACTAGCAATAAAAAAATTCCAAGCAAATTCAAAGACTATTAGAAACATGCTGATAATATCTCACTATTGATATTTAATACTTTGAATTGACAATCATTTTTAATTGGTTTTTGGAAATCAGCATATATTAATCTTTTCACAACATCCCAGTACCAAGCAGAGTTGTATACATGTTACAAGGATGTAAGAGGTGGTAGGTAATTCCAAATGATCTTTTTCATAGTTGGCTTCATTTGCTATTAACTATTAACATTTGCAAGTAAGAGTATTTCTCCAGTGAATTTATTTAAAATTAAGCCCGCATGATGTATAATGATTGTGTAGCAAATCCATTCAACCTAAAGATGTATGAACAGTTATAATTCTTCCACTTTCCTGACTGGCTACAATGAACTCTGAATAATGCTAACAGCTATTCATTCATTGAGCACAAACAATGTAGCAGGTGCTAAGCTGTTTGCATGCATTTTTTCATATAGTCACCTATAGTCACAAAGCACAGTAATGCTTTTTCATATAGTCACAAAGCACAGTAATGCTTTGATAGATGTACTATCGTTAGTCCAGATTTACAGATGAAATACTCAGAAGTGAACTTGCCCAATGTGCAATAGGAGTTTAGTTTGAACAAAAGTATTCACTTCATCCAATACTTTGCTCAGATTTGTTACACAGACCTTCACTGTCTCTGTATTGTTTCTAACAAGAAAATAATAAGATTACTTTTTATTTATTAGTATATTAGGATTACTGAGTTTTAAAATACATAGCCCAAGACATTTTTCTCTTTCCATTTTTCTTTGGTGTTTGTTGTTTAATTTGCACAGGTGAGTTATTGACTACATGACTATAAGTATAAAGGTTTATAGAAGAAATTGTTTTTGGACTTGTGGATTTCACTTTATCTTAGGTGGTTAGAAAACTCAGAAAAGAGTTTCCAAACAGGACCTCTGAGTATATATATTCTTGTTATTTGAGTAAGTATATCCTTACACATTTATATCACAGCCAATGAAATATAGAAAGTGACAATTATCTAGGCATTTTAGGAAAAACAGTTTTGCATCAGTTATTTGGGGAATGGAAGGATGATATATTTTGGATGTAATTACCTAAAATTTTTCTATTTTTTTCCTGTATGTCTATAAATCTGGGGAGTGATTCTTTTTCTTTGAGGAATATGAGTGGTGGAGAACAAAATAATTAGCAGGTTAGATATTGAGATAGAGTAAAATAAGAGATATTTTGCTTGTTTGGTAAAATATGAAATACACATTTATAATTATTTCCCCCATTTTTCTAAATATATTATAAAATATAAGCCCTTTGCTTTAACTTTCAAATACTTCTTTTTTAAAAACATATTTTATTGATTATGGTATTACAGTTGACCCATTCCCCCCCTGCACACACCTTCCCACCTGAATTCCCCATGGAGTTCACATCCATGGGTCATACATGTAAGTTCTTTGGCTTCTACATTTCCTGTACTATTCTTAACCTCCCTGTCTATTTTCTACCTACCATCTATGCTACTTATTCTCTGTACCTTTTCCCCCTCTTTCTCCCTCCCATTCCCCTGCTGATAACCCTGCATGTGATATCCATTTCTGTGGTTCTGTCCCTGTTCTAGTTGTTTGCTTAATTTGCTTTTGTTTTGTTTGAGGTGTGGTTGTTAATATTGTGAGTTTGCTGTCATTTTAATATTCATGTTTTTTATCTTCTTTTTCTTAGATAAATTCCTTTAACATTTCATAGAATAAGGGCTTGGTGATGATGAACTCCTTTAACTTGACCTTATCTGAGAAGCACTTCATCTGCCCTTCCATTCTAAATGAAAG